TATGTATGTATATATTTACATACATATATATATAATCCTCTTCTTTTTTGTATGGCGAAGTCTGTATTGAACTCACCGACAAAGGCCACGCATCCAACTCCAACCAAAAACCATGCGGCGCCCGTCATGTCCTTGTCTTCTCCGGTTGTGAGTGGGCCGTCCATGATTGATATGAAAATCAGACCGAAAACCTGTGCGAACATGATAGACACGAAGAAATAGCCTTAGGATTATGCTATGAATAAAGTCGTAGTAGTATATACGAGTGATTATATACCGCCTGGTAATAATACGCAAAATCCTAAAACACTTGTTTCTGAAACGATGCTTGTTTTGTATAGAACGTACCAAAATACGCATCTACGTAAACATATGAACCAACACATATTGTGCATACTATCGCATAGCAGCATGTATCATATGACATAAAAATACGTAGATGTATCAGAGATAGCTACGGAAATGCATTCATATGACCATCAAAGCATCTTAACATGAAATCAAACGATATATATTTGGCCAAGCATTGGATGAACACAAACTTAAGCGCATAAATTACAATACGTTATACGTAAATTCTCGATGAGTATATCCTTTCCCTACAGATATAACTTCAGCGAGCCTTGAAATTTATGCGCTGTAAACGTGTCATATGTACAATAATATATTTCTGTATCGATGGCGTTTATATTCATCTATCACATTTGTTAACATCCCACATGCATGCTCTTAAGCACATACCTGGCCACTCATGTACAGGAATCCACTTGAGGTTCCCTCATTGACCGGATAGGTGCATTCCGCACCCAACTCCAATGAAGTGGGCAGGATAGCAAATGCAAAGAACCCCATTATAGCCGAGCATATCAGGATCTGGGTCAGATTACCTGCAGAGCTACTTACGGCCGCAAACCACACAAACCCCATCAGTGCACCAAATAGGCACACACGCAGCACCTCGATGTACCGCCTGGTCTTGTCCAGAATGGGGCCAGTCAGACCTTTATTGGGTATATTAGAAAGCAAAGGTACTCGTGTGTATCACACATCGCAGTGGCAAGCCCAAAGCATACAGGAAATATTCAGTCTTAGAGTTCCAGGGTTTTAGAGTTTTAGGGTTTTAGGGTTTCAGGTGTTCCAAACGCTTTATTGTTTATGCCCGAATCAATACAAACGTAGAGGCTCGCACCCTATAGAAGAATCCCTATCGGTAGCACCTCTATAGTCAGTCTAACAACACCTTTATAGTCAGTCTAACAACACCTACATAGTCAGTCTAACAACACCTTTATAGCCAGCCTAACAACCCCCGATACGAATCACAACACCAGTCATACAATATGCGCAGCATACACACCTGCGCCTGCCAGTCCTCCGAGAATTATCAGGGCCCCCGCCAGCCCAGCGTCGTCGGTACTGTACCCGTGAGGAAACAGGATCTGTTCCAGCAAGGTGGTGAGCGCATTGAACATCCCCAGACCAATACCAAAGATAAGCACGAGCATCAGGTATGCGTACGAACGACTGATCACATTCAGACCTGTGTGTTCGTGAGCGTATGGTATTTGGGATGAGAGATGTCTTACTGGATAGGTATATGTGAGACATATCGATGCTCGGAAAATCCTTTACATATATATATATATATAGTCGAGGACAGGGTATATGTATGGTTGCATGATAGTTTCAGCCAAATGCCCACATTTGAGATCAGTATCAGATGAGCGTAGCTACGGCGGGTCTCATCCAGGCCTAAGGATCCGGTGATAACCGTCACACACGTAGGTGCGTGGGTTTGGCATTGTCGAAAACTAACAAGAACAGATCACAGGAAGCTGACCTTGAAGGATGTGACTACGCCTCCTTCACCCACAAAAGTAGCATCTAGTAGCGGTTGGTGATATAAGCAAACATGTATCTATGGAGAAGGTTGTACATCAGTCCCATGCGTACTGATGTGTGTTCAAAATGTATGAGACATTAAACGAGCCTCCTTCACCCACAGTAGTAGCATCTAGTAGTGGTTGGTGATATAGGCTAACTTGTGTCTATGGAGAAGACTGTCAATCACTACCAAGCGTACAGGTGTGTGTTCAAGATGTATGAGACATTAAACGAACCTCCTTCACCCACAGTAGTAGCATTTCGTAGTGGTTGGTGATATAGGCTAACTTGTGTCTATGGAGAAGACTGTCAATCACTACTAAGCGTACAGATGTGTGTTCAAGATGTATGAGACATTAAACGAACCTCCTTCACCCACAGTAGTAGCATTTCGTAGTGGTTGGTGATATAGGCTAACTTGTGTCTATGGAGAAGACTGTCAATCACTACCAAGCGTACAGGGGTGTGTTCAAGATTAAACGAACCACACCATACCCAAGCAGTACACGCACACAACAAACCATCATTCGAAAGTACAGTCAGACTCTCCTATTAGTTTGAACAACCAGCCACGTGCGCATTATAAAGCCACAGTGTTCGAGTGGGCAATCCCTATGCGCGCAGCATGCATGCGCGACCCATTATCACCAGCTACACGGGCACATACCAGTGTAGTAGATTCAGATCATTGCAATCCGCACCTACTTCTGTGACAACTACTGCTGTGACAACTACTTCTGTGACAACTACTTCTGTGACAACTGCTTCTGTGACAGCCCCCCCCCAAGTGGTTGAGTGTGTCTATGCTATCTGCTTTCCTCCCGTACCATCGCAGTGCGCACTTGCCAATGCTTGCAAGCCATCTTACTCTAACACGGCAAACTCACACTCACGCCCACGCCCACGCCCACACCCACGCCCACACCCACCCACATACACACACACACACACACAAGCACGCACAAGCACGCACACACACCCGAAAGCACAACTTACCGTCGACGAAGTCTTTGTTCGTCTCGCGATATGTGGCCGACGAGGCCGAGGGCGGAGTAGGCGGATGGGACTGCAACGTAATCACAGGCAACGCCAACACAACACACACCAGCGCATACAGCCACAGCATGGTGTCGATGGACGACGGATCGTCCTCGGATACGATGATGGGCGTCACAGCTGAGTACCACGGGCAGTGGCGTATGAAATGTGAGTGTGTGTGTGGATGGAATGTGTGTGTGCGTGTAGATAGAATGAGTATGTGCGTGTACATAGACTAGACGGAGAGAGTGAGCGGGGGACATGTTTAAGAACACGACTGGCCCTTCCCAGTATGGTGTCAAGTGACGAGGGATCGACCACAGACGAGCTTATAACTTGTGTGATTCACGGCTAGCCGGTATGTCGCGGATGGTTGTGGTGGGTGTGAGTATACACAGAGCCACGCCCACAGGTGCGCGTGAATGGGTGTAGGAACAGGGAAGGTGCGTGGGCATAGGGCATATGCATAGACTATAGGGTATATGTATAGACTATAGGGTATATATATAGACTAGGGTATATATATATACTATAGGGTATAGAGTGTATATGGATGGGTGTAGGGACAAGGGAGGTGCGTGAGTATAGGGTATAGGGTTAAGTGAATGTGTGGATCAGTTAAGGGGAGAAGACGAGTTCATTCGTTGCGGACAAGGTCGACCTCAAACACAGTAATGGATTTTTGTATTGGAGCCATCAGCGGGTGGTATTGGTAGGAGAAACGGAAGGACTGCGAGAGCAAGGGAGTAGGTATATCAACTGGTATGCACAACTGCCTGTGACTTAGTGAGAGAATATGCGAATGGCCAGTACAAGCCCGGTAGTTCGAAGACAGTACTACATATGGCGTCAAGTCTCTACAGATGAACTAGTTCATGTGATGGAGTTGTACCAGATGCTACAGCAACTCTCTACGGACGAACTAATTCTTGAGATTGGTTTGTATCAACTCTCTACGGACGAACTAATTGATGAAATAGTTTTGTATCCACTCTCTACAGATGAACTAATTCATGAGATTTATATGTACCCGATGCTACAGCAATCCCCAGCGGATTGGCTATGGCTCCTATGGTATTTGCGGTCGCTCGTGTAGCGTCACTGAACCATGCCGCCGCCAGCTTAGTAGTCGCCGAAACTGCAGTGAAGGATCAGTGTGTTGGGTGAGGAGTTATGAGGTGCCAGGGGTTGTCACTGATGCAAAGTAGTACTATTCATATCATATCATGGATAGTTGGGATGAAAGCTGATGCAACACATATCTTATCGATTGATATAGTCTGTCATAACCCTGCTAGTACCATGCCTAAGCCGTTGGGTCGTCACTAGTTGGGTTGTTGGGTTGTTGGGTTGTTGGGTTGTTGGGTTGTTGGGTTGGTACCCCAACAGCACACTCAATTCATCACACGGGCCTTCTGCACGAAGTCTCTCGAAAAACGTTTCTCTCACGAAACATCTCTAGAAAGATACGAATCTTGCCCCAGAACTCATTCCTGGGGACCGTTATGGCCTCCACAGGGTCTGCTATCTATGTGTACCCTGCACACAGTATCAGGAAGTATACCCTCTGCCACACACGGCAGCTGACTATGAGGTAGGTAAGTCACCTAGCGCGTCTGACCGTACACATAAACACACACGCACTGGATGAAGTCGGTTACACACCCATAGGGCTTGTGCAATAGGTCGTCCGGGTTCGTATACAAACCATCATAGGTGATGGATTGTGTCTGTGGACGTGCGTTAAGGTACCGACCTGTCGCGGATCAACGGCACATGAGACTCTCGATTCGACACACACCCTGACAGACAAACAACAAACGAGGAGAGAAACACCATACACTTACGGATGAAGGGTTGGGCCACACCCCCAAAGCATTGACCCAGCATCAGCATTGCATACGCACCAGAACTAGTTGGATCAAATGCCAAGGAGATCACTCGAATCTGTAGAGTGGGAAATACCCCAACAGATGTGCAGAAGAAAAAAGAGACACTTACGACAACATAGCTGGCAGACTTTTTATAGATATATAGATATATATATCAATATAT